CCACAACAGCCGCCACAACAGCCGCCACAACAGCCTCCACAACAGCCTCCACAACAGCCTCCACAACAACTGAAAACCCTTGAGGCCGATCAGGGGATAAGCCCGTCCCGCAGCGGAAGCAAAAACGGACAGCACGCCAACCCGTGGGGCCCCAGCACGTGGGAAAACCAAGCGGAGGAGTGGAGCCGAGAAACAGAGACCCCCTCACAGGGGAACAGAGGCAGCATATACAACCTCAGCAGCGAAAACAACAAAAGTGAAGAAGAGGCCCAATTTCTAAATTTCCTATATGACCCATGCAAGCATTTATATGTTAACAAAATGAATGTAAGTCAAAATTATTTTCACTTTTTCAATAAAGAGCAATCATCAGATATAAAAAAGAAACTTCAGCTTTTTATTAGTACCCACTCTCCCACCATGATTAATATCACCAAAAAATGGAACTCCTTTTACATTAACAAAAATAAAATTTCTTCCTTTGTTGAGAAATACAAAGACGTGAATTATTCCCCTGGAGATAACTTAAAGAAGAATGGCACGGATAATTTTATAAATGAATTTGTGCAAACGTTTCGTTACATAAGACACGAGGTGCGACCACCCGGGGGTAACAAAACGAACGTAGTGGTTCGTCAACGTGGTAAAGGGATGCATCCTCGGAGGGGAAGTAGTTCCAGAAAAGCCTTCAGTTGGATGGCGAAGCATGAAAGAGGGAGTTCATCTATAAGAAAGAAGGAATATGACGCGGGGAACACACGTTGGCCAAACAAACTTAGGAGAGCTGTCACTACTGTAGACCAAAATGCTGACCTGAGCGAAAAGAACTGCAGTCGTGATAGAAGTGGCATATATGGAGACCGCTTAAGAAGAAGCTACGGGCAAGTCGACGAAAAAGCGAGGAGTATGTCCACGGCAGGGAGCACGCATCATTATACGGATGGGAAGTTCGAACGGAGGGGTGAAGCTGCAGCAGAGGGGAAGAACGATCAATCCAATGCACAGGAGAAACCTGAAGGGAATTTCCCCAGTAAGGACGCCAAAATGAAGGCTCCCCAAGAGACGAAAAAGAAAAACAAGAAAACCCTCCCCCCCGTGGTGGAACCAAAAAGGGTACCCAATTATACTCCCTCTTCTCAATGGTACAAGGGAGGAAGGAGCACTTCGGGGTGCACTCCGGAGGTTATTGCAAAGTTCCTGGGGAGTGTAAACATTAGGAGAAGTGGCATCCTGCTGCGTAGGGGTGGTGGAAGTAGCAGTAGCGACAGTGATAGTTGCAGCGTGAGGGAAAGTGACTCTAACGAGGATAGTTGTGACAGCGATGAGCATAACATCGAGAGTGAGTATGCCTACGAGGGGAAGAAAAATAGCAACAATGGGGAAGGGGTGGCCGCAGGGGGGACAGAAGGTGCAGCTGCGAAAGGAGCGGACGCAAGCCCGCGCAGCAAAGAGAACCCTCGTAACAATATCTTTTTAAACAACCTAAACATACTGATAACAGATTTGAACGAGCTGTATGTTTATTTGGAGAACTGCCCGTACAAGGAGGGGGCATCTGGCGTCGACGTGGGGGTGAATAATAGCTTCCCCGCCAACGACCCTAAGGGGAACTACGACTACAATTTAGCCAAGGGGAACAATGGAGGTGATGAACACGAAGCAGCAGAGGAGCCGCATCATGCGCAACAGGTGCAGAAGGGGGGAGAACTGAGCATAGGCGATTTGAACAGAGGCTTCAAATCGGAGAGGGATTTGGCCACCTTATACACTGCAGGCGCATCATGCGTAGATGGCACCTACAGCGATGCTCCCGACAGCGAAACGAGCGACACATACGGAAGCGGGAAGGAAGATTCTTACGTGGAGATTTCCTCAGTAGATTTGAAGAGCTTCTGTTCTGTGTGCTCAGGAATTCAATATGATAATTTTGAAAATCAGTTAAATCAACAAAAAAATAGAAATTACAAAAAATTGGAAGTTTTTATTAAAGAAAGTGACTTTTTCTGTAATTGTAATAACATTAATATTTTTCAAAATGAGAATGGGAACGCTAATGATGATTTAAAATTCTGTTTCAATGGAGAAATGACTTCAGAAGAATATTACATGTTAAAAAAAAATGATATTGAAAAAATGAACAGGACTATAGACGAAATTATCTATATGAGTCATCATCAGGGACTGGAAGGCACGGGTGGGGGCACAGACGGAGGGTTACCATACGAGAAAGAGGAAGAAGAAGAGGAGGAAGAGGAGGAAGAAGAAGACGAGGAAGAAGACGACGAAGATGGAGGGAGGACTAAAGCCGCTGCAAGGACTAGAAAGAAATCCACAAGTGTTGGAGGAGGGGTAGGTATAAGCAGAGGCACTGGAAGACGAAGAGGACGTGTAACCAAAATGGAAAACAAAGGTAGATATATAGGAAGAGGAAAGAATAAGTTATGGGCCAGTAACAATGGGACGAAAGAATTAGGCAACAAATCAGCAACGAATCGAGAGATAAGAAATATGAGAAGAAATAAATTTGGAAAATATCATCAGCAGACGGAAAAAAAAAACAAAACTGCGAAATCGTTGTCGTCTCCACAAAATTATGAAATAAAATCGTCAAGAGTTAAGAAGCTAGAAAAGTTTACTAGTGTTGATCAGGAAAATCTGCGAGAGGTTTTTGGACCAACCGGCGTTTCTGGAGTCTATTTTGAAAAAAGCAGAAGCAGCTGGACAGCCCAGTATAAAGTTAGTGGTGGGAAGAGGAGAGCCAAAAGATTTTTGGTTACCAAAAATATGAGTTATGAGGAAATTGAAAACGTCAAGCAGCAGTGCATAGCTTACAGGAAGCAAATGGAAAAGGAATACATCAAAGAATTCCTCAATGACGATAAGAAGGAGACCCCTTCTAGTGCCGCAAGCCCCAGCAGTGCGACTGGGCACGTGTCGGTTAAAAAGAACAAGCGAAAGAGGAAGATGAAGAACCTTTATGACAACTAACGGGGGGTGGGGGAAAAAAAGAAGTGGTGTTATAAGTTTCTGTTCTTGTATAGTTTCTTTTCTTTTCCCCTTAGTATCCTCGTCCCAAAGGCAGTTATACGACGCGGCCCCGGGCCACAGTGTGTCACATACACGACTATTGTGCATGTGTATGCGCTACACCTATATATGTATATATAAGCCTCTCCCCCCTAAAGCCCCACCCCCCGCGCATAGTGACTTTCGCTCACCCTGCATTTATTTTTTTTATGTACTGATGTTATAGATTTTACCCCTTCTTTAGCTCCTTTTTTATGCCCCCTTTTTTAGCCACCTTTTAGGATATTTTTTTTTAATCCCTGCATAGTAGCAAGTGTCATTGTTTTTATTCCTAACATCCCCAGTGTCCCCCTCGCATGCGCAACATGCGTGGTGCCTAACTGAGGAGGCCTTCCTGTTGCTTGTACCAGGGACGAAAGTCAACTTGGCGCCCGTAGAGGCCCATGCGTTTTTTTACGCTCAAAATATGGTCAAGACGTTTGCGCTCCCGGAGAGGTAAACAATATAACATTGGTAGCAAGCACAGTGTAATGGTGGTGCGCCAGTGCGCGGGTTGGGGGAACGCATAAAGATTACAGAAAGGTAAGCCACGACGTTAAAGAGTTCGTTCACGAGCAAATATTTCTCCATGGTTGGGATGGTGTTTCCACCATGAAAAATGGGTCACTTGTTAAGTTGTCATGAATATCACCCGACTTATAACTCCGAGTTGCGCAGGCATCTTTCCAAACCGTTCTGACATTTAAGTGGAAGAAGGACGTATACACATATATATCTATACAACATTGTATTGTTTTTTGGGAGTTTTTTTTTCTCTGTTTGATATTATTATAGTACAGACGTCCCGTATACATATAAACATGAGCGCACGTATGTACATGGGCATACATACGAGTAGAAAATGTGTATACATATATATATGGTAATAAAGGGACTTATCATTTATCGCTTATCGTTTGTCATTTTCTCTCTACAAGTACACTCTTCTCTCCTTACATATAAAACTTCTTCATGCAAAAGATGGATGAATGGGTGCACACAAATAGGAACATATATTATGTATCGGTGCTTAAAGCAAGGAGAGACAGAAAAAAAAAAAAGGGAAAAAAATAAATTGGAATAAATAAAAAACAAGATAAGAACATGTATGATGGAGAAGGAAAAAAAAAATGGCAGAAATAAATTATATTTACAATAACTATATATATAACGGTTAAGATAAAGAAAAAATTGGAATATCATAAAAACAGATATATATATCACGTATATATAACTGTGGTTATTACTCTTAAGGAATAAACAATTTCGAGGTCCATCCATAATGCGGAGATGGAAAACAGATTGCTCTGAAAACGCGTGGTGAGACTCATTGAAAAAAAAATATAAATAAAAAGAAAAAAAACCATAAGACAGGCATTAAAATATATATACAGAAGTATATACACAGATATGCATGCACGTAAAACACATTCCGCAGCCCCTATGAATACTTTTGTGATTTTCTTTTTTTTTTCTCTTCTAGATGTAAACATTGTGTGCGTTCACCTGTCCACATATATATATAAATATATATATATGAAATCTGCACCTTACGTTTTCACAGGGGAAAAAAAAAGGGTGAACAACACACACATAAACACACACGCTTACGTTCCCACGTTTTTTTTTTTTTTTAACATACAGCGACAGTTGGCGCGGGGTCGATCAAGCTGCCGCGCCCGTTGATTCACTGTGAAGGTTATATAGCCCTTCTGGTTACTCGATTGGCTTATCAATAATTGAAATGACTTAAAGGGTGCGGAAAAGGCGTAGGGGAGTTAGAAAAAGAAAAAAAAGAGGGAAAATAACATAAGCATATTATTTCCCTGTTTTTTTTTTTTTTTTGGGGCTCCCCCCGGGCAGAGGCTCTGTTCTAATTATAGCATCAACACAGAAACGTCTGTGTGACTCTGCTACCTGCCAGTCTCCCCCTCTCTCTTTTATGGTATCTAACTTCCGTTTTATGTTCTCACTCACTGGAGTAAAACCACTATTCGATGCTACTCCAAAGTGATGTGTGTGGCAGTACGAGTATATTATAATAGCCCGTGGCTTCCTCCCCAATTGACTCTTCCTCTGACCATGCCGATCAATTCTTAGCGATGGCAAAACCGACACTCTCGTTGTCATAGTCAAAAACGGTGAAGTATTTTCTCATGAATGGGTCTCCCAAAATGAAGGTTTTGGAATCAATGTCGACTGGTAGCATGGTAATCATGCATAGGGTGTCATCCACATCGAGTAGAGGGTTCATGTAATATTCGGGTTCTAAAGTGTAAGTATTGTTGGCTGACTTAAATTCAAGGGTTGGCATTTCCTTGTTGTCACAGGTAGTTATGTAAAATGGCAGGAAGGGAACTTTAATAACACTCAGATTAGCAAAAAATTTGTTTAGAAATTCTGAAGGGGCGGTAATAGTTGTTGTGCCACTATCAACGATAACATTGGCCTTTTCCATAGTGTGCTTTCCAAAATGTACGTCTAAATCAATTTGCCAGTACAAGTCGTGATTTAATTTTTCATAGGTGATGTTGCCTTCGTAAAATTTTTCTTCAATTCCACCAATGGTTAGGTAACCAGCGTGGACATCATGCACAGGGAGGTAGAAGGTGAACAAGGCATTGTCGATTTTGTTTTGGTTCTTTAACTCGACAACAATGGGATCAATGGATCCGATGGAGAGATCTTTCCATCCTAAACCTAATATTCCATCAAACTCGACGCTACTGTAAATGGGTTCTAAATCATCTGTGTCGGTGACTTCTATAAATTTGTATGGCATGGACAAATGTCCCAAAGTTACTAAATCTTTACTGAAAAAACCTTTTACAGTTCCAGATCCGTAAGTGATGTCAACTTTGGTTCCATCCTTTTCATACGACTTGGACTTGCTCGAGTCGTACAGGTTTTTAACGCTGCATCCACTGCTATTACATTTCTTACTTGGGACCCACAAGTTGGCAGAACCCGTGTCAAAGATGAGCATAAACTTTTGGTGATTATCTCCAATTTCTCCTTCTCCATAGAACATAATGTTTGCTACATCATCTAATTCGATTACATCATTTTCACTTCCTAAGTAGTTCTGTTTCATATATCCAGATTTGTAGAAGTTATAAGTTTCCTTTATGTAATTCTTCAAATTTTTCTTGGAGATGGTTTTTAATACCTTGTCATAGGGTCTCTCGATTTTAAAAGCTAAAGTTAAATGTTCTGTGTTCTGTACAATTTTGTTAATTTTATAACTGGGGGTAAAAAAATAGGTACTAATTAGAAAGAAGAAAAATATCCCCGTCACAAAAACAAACAGAATGAAATAGAGTATTTGGAATCTCTTCTGGACTTTAAAATTTTTGATATTGCTAAATTTCAGATTTTCAAACGCAGCTGAGTTTTTTATAAGTCCGTTTGAGTAGTCCTCTTCTTTCACTGCTATATCCATTTTCACTTAAATGCACGCGTGCTGGTAATTCTGGACGAGTCTTACGGGGGGAGGGGACAAAAGTGGATGTACTATATGCTTAGTATTCCTTTTGCCGCATAAGCGGTTTGCTCTGCAGAGAAGGGGGGGAGGGGGGCGATGAAGTAAAAATTATGCATGTGTGATGTGTGATCGGAAAAATCGACACAGTAGAGATCCACGGTATGCATCCACAGTATGGTCCCTCATCGGAAGCGAGTGGGGAAGGCATACAAACGGAGGACAAATCCGACTGATGACAATTTCAAGGTGATGCGCACCACTTGCAAGGCAAACGAGTATATACATAAAGTAGAATAAACGTTCGCGCGGCACACTTTCGCAGGTGTAGGGAAAACGAGTCCGTACGAGCAAAGATGTGAAGCTTGGCGCAAAACGACGGATCGGATTGGTTCGTTCCGTATAAATGCGCATCGAGCTGTCGTGTATATTTAAATAATATACTTGCGGCGAAGTACGCATAATATTATAATAACACTAACGCGGGAGGTACATGCAATTAGTACATATAACTTCTAGTATACAATTTTGGCACGCGCAAGAAAAGAGGGAGATAGGGGCAGGAAATACATAAATAACCTCACGCGCGAATGGGGAACCGCTTGCTCTCTATTTGATTATTAAAGCTAGCGAAGTTATATACTTTTTCGCTTAAACTTACTTGGCTGAAATTCAGTTTTCTAAACGAAAACTTCGAAGAGTAATGATGCCCAAAAAGAATAAAAAAAATTTGTGAACTCTTATAAACAAATTTTTTTTAAAGAATTTTTTTTTTTAAAACAAAAAAAAAAAAAGGAAGTATGAAAAATCACCGGAAGGGGGAATGGCCCAATGGATGAAAAGATGAATGAATAAAAAAGATGAGCGGATGAAGGAAAATATGAATATATTTTTTTATCACCCTTATTTGTAGATTGGTAAAGTAAACTATTACAAATTATATACGCAAAAATTACTGGAAAATCTTTAAAAAAATATCGGAAAAAGAAATTTGTTTTTTCTTTATTTGCGATTGCCCATGGAAATTTGAAAAAAAAAATAAAAATGTATATAACGTATTGAGCGTATATATATATGCGTGGCTATATTGCCTCCGACTATTTGCTGTATTGTGAGAGTGTATAATGTTAATTATACAAGTACTTTATAAATTTATATAAGGTAAAAATAAACATTAATGTTGTCATATTTTCGGCGATTTCAGGCACCCCATATTATTATTACCCGTCATTCCCTACTTTTTGGTTTTCGGGTTTTACGTAAAATCCGACTAAAATAATGAATGGCCTAAGTTTTGCAATGAGCGGAAAAATATCTGTAACGCAACATTACTGCCTATGCGCGAATGTATTATATATAATGTATAGAGATGTACACAAATGTATCTATATTCTATATGTAGAATCCGTCAATAGTGCTCTCTTGTTTGAAAAAAAAAGAA